TGGGTCCCATCTTCACAGTTGATTTAGACTTCGTAAAGATATTGAGTTGTGCAAAGTTTAGTTCAAATCGGATAGTCCGTTCACATGATATTATAAAATTATATTTTAGTACTATTTTGACCATTTTCTGGGGGAGCTACCAGAAGGAGTGGGCCGATATTCTCCATCTTCGAACTTAAACTAAATTTAGAAGAAATATTACGATGAGCAAAGTTTGGATAGAATCGATTTCTCCTATATCCGCCGTTTTATTGGACGGAATTGAATATGAATGAGCTCATTAGATCTGGCACGTAAAAAAACTAAAATCACGCGGGGTTCCACGGAATTTGAATGGACTTTCTTAATTTTAGACTCAAAAAATATGTTTTTTATAAAAATTTACGCACCAAATTTTCGTCTTTGGAACCCAATTGCAAGGAAGCTACAGTGAGCACATTCATGAGATATACACTAAACAAAGCAGAATCACGAGTTCTACAATCCTATAATTAGTTTATTCTATTATCTGGATGCGCATCCTAATTATAAGAAGAAGAAAACACGGAAAATCCGGCTTCCACATGTCAGCATCCATTTTGAGTGGATGCAGTGATTATATCGAAAAATCTTACATTAGAACCATATTGTCCATGGGGTATTCTGCAACTTAGTCACTGATCACATGTGCGTGCGTTGTGTAGTTTAGCCACACATCGGGAATGAACACAAAAAAACTCGTTGGCTTCAACACATTTTCACCCATTTTTTTTTTTTACATTACCACCATCACAGCTTCCACGCAACTTATTATTTATTACCAATATTTTAAGATTTTGACAAAAACACTTCATTTTAAAGAATTGAATTTAAATTTTATGCAATATGTTCATATTTCGCGAGTTATAACCTTGCAAACCTCAGCTTATAGGAATTTAAAAGATTTTTGTAATTTCCCGTATATATTTGGCAAAAATATTAGCTTTTTTCTGGTTATGGGAATTTTTACATGTATTCTAAGCGAAATTCATTTAAAATATGGACAAAAATAAACTATAAAAAAAATGTTATTTAAAATATAAAAAAAAAAATAAACTGTGAATGAATCAAACAAATATCCCGCCAATTTTACACATTTTAATAGTTTCTGAACCGAATGACTATTGGTATTGATTTCATAGTCCTAATCTCATTTCTCCTGGAACGTTTTGCCATAAATGACCCATCCTTGTTAGTATTTTAAATGTCCATATAAAGGGTATTATACCACCTATTGGAGCAGATTTATATTTTTCATTCATTTTTTATTTTACTTAAAATTTATTTAATTTAATAAATTTTTGTTTTGTTTTATTATATTATATTTATTTTATAAATTAAATATGAATTAATAATTTTAATGTAAACATAATATGAAGTTCTTAGTTGTAAAAATTAGTATTTAAATAGTATGTAAAATTACAATTAGATGTAGAATAATAAGATAATGGAATAGAATGAAATAAAGTTATTGGTGTGAATTAAACCGCCAATGAAACACATCTTTCTTTTCGCTGTCCGAAAATTTGCCATTACGGAATTTCAGACGGAAAGACCAACTAATTCTATATAGTTGGTCTTTCCGTTACTTAATAGCGGTGAAAAAATAGGGCCATTATTTCATATAGACTGCAGCGTATGCATACATTTCATACCAAATTTCATTTTTTGTTTTTGTCCAATGAGGCTGTGATCGATTCGCTTACGAAAACTTCTTTTGAAAACTTTTGTTTGAAACAATAAGTATATTAATTTAATAACGCATTACATCATTTCTTATTTAATAATAAATATTTAACCGGTTTGAACACGATTAAATGTTTGTGAAGTATCTAGAATAATGTTCCCAGCTTTTGTGTACCAACAGAAGCATTCGCATAGAATATTTCTAGATTTGTCGTAATAAACAAATACGATCGTAAACTTCCTCAAAACATATTATGTAGAACATCATCATATGTTTACCTTGTGATTTCGACGAATTTTTACACATCATGGGAATTTGTTCGGCAGCAAAAACAAACCATATCCATAAACTCTGCTAACACCATAGCACTCATTATTTGTTTTAGATGTCCGAATTAAAATGGGAAGAGAGACAATATCATCATAGATAAGAATGTTTTTATTTGTTACTATTTACTTTATTCATTAACAAATAAATAACTATGTACTCTTCGTATGTTGTTTTTTGATTTGATTCGCTTGCATTCGTCAGAATTTTGTTTCATCATATTTTTTTTAGAGTTGTGACGAAGTTTTGCTTTCATGAATGATGGACGGAAAGATTCATATCAGCAGCTAATTGACATTAGACGCGTTAAAAATGTGTTTTTGCTGTTGTCTAAACATAAGAGGTGTGTTTTTTTTTATTTTTTATTCATTTGGTTATAACGATATTTAATGGGTTTGTACATTATTTAATTATTTTAGTTAGGGAAGTACTATATGCTTTTTAATATCATAAAGTAGTTTATTTTTACAAACAATGCTATTTACCACATTCCGTCAATTTAATTTATGTCTATGTGTAGTGTATATTAAAATTGTCATTCGGTTTAAAACACCGCGAAATATTTGTCGAAGTCCTTATAAAGTATATACACTTGACCAGAATAAAACTTGTAGAGCTAGTCATGTCCATATGTATGTTTAAATTACGATGCAGATCGAAATAATTGAGACGGATTTTAAAATGTGCACATATTGAATAGATCGGTCCCCATTTTAGTATAGTCCCACTAATGGGTACTATGCATGTTTCATTAGGATTTTCCAATGAAAGTGGCCATAATTTAGCATTTCGAGTTCTTGGAGAGTACAAAATATCTTTCCAGAACGTTTTCAATATGTTTCAATATATGTTTCCGCCCCATTGTAGGTTTGCTGAAGACGCACAACTCATTTTCCAACCGAAGTGTCATTCAATACTCTTGGTGGTTAAATAATACCCTCTACCCTCTAATTTGTTATTTCGTTTATAGTAACTTCAAATATTCACGATAATTCCAGAAATGTTACAAGTAGCCTAGTTGCATTTTCGATGTCCTTTTCGAAAATTCATACCAAAAAGTTGTAACCCTCAGTGGGACCTAACCTATTTTCCCTTTATATGGAATTAAAGTCAGGCCATTGTGCAGTGGATGGAACATATGCAGAACAAAGAAAGATCACCATATTAATAACAAAATTCCAATCCCCAGATATGATGAAAAGACTACTAGAAATCCAAGCAACACACGAGAGGCGAAGAAAGAAAACTCCCGAAGTGGAAATAATCCCTGAACAGTTTTGGAAGTGGGGTATAAGTTTTGCAGGATAAAATAAACCTCTCTAACTCAATATGATCACTGTGATGCCAGAAGCATTCCATGGACGGTTCCGGAAAGTTATGAAAATTTGTCCTTCCGATATTTATGGATAACTTAGAGGACGAAATTCGAGGGCAGAAGCCTGGTAGCCATTCTAGTCGAGTTCTTCTAAGTCGAGACTGGAATAAGTACTCTTGGCGGGGAAAGTAACGGCATGCTTTAGAGTTAGAGACCTGAATAAGTATTAAAAAAGGAATCTGCGACAAGAGACCTTAGTAGAACTCAAATAAGGATATCACAGGATTCGACAAAGGAGTTGAAATATTCTGGGATATAGAGACCGGGATAAGTACTCTTCGACTAGCTTCTTACTTACTTCGTTGGCTCGAGACAGAACATTAGTTCAATAAGCCGAACTTAAAAAATATTTCCAGGCGCGTCGATCTTGTGCGCAGTTTTTCCAATTTAAATGACCGTGCTTCGAGATATTACCTTTCACTTGGCCTTTTCCTCCCCAATTGGCTTTCATATGCCTTTTAGCTTGGGCGATCCTCATCCAATCGCACAACATGACCTAGCCACCGCAGTCGCTGCAGCTCGAATCGTCTATGTCGATGTCCGTGTACATATGGTATAGTTCGTGGTTCATTCGACACCGATATTCCGCATCGACGCAGATCGGTATATAGATTTGTCGGAAAATCGCTCTCTCTCAAGGATGTTAAATATGTAACACAATAGGAGCTTATCTTGTCTAAGCCCTAGTTCGGTGTTAAAGGGTTTCAAAAATGGCTTTCCGACTTAACTGCTGATCTGTGTCAGTTAAAGTTATCCTGCATAGACGTATTAACGCAGACCCTTTAGAGCGGATAGTACTATTGAATGCGGCTTCATTGCTGACGAATATGTGATGTGTTTTTCGTGTGCCTTTTCCAGGATTTAGCGCAGTGTAAATATCTGGTCTATTGTGAATTTGACAGGTCTTAAATCGCATTGGTACGGTCCAATTATGTCATTGACCATTGCCTTCAGTCGTTCACACCGTACGATGAATAACATTTATATGCGATGGAAAGGAGACTAATTCCTAGTCTCCTTTTTTTTGTGTACAGGGCACAGAATGCTGATATTCCAATCATTGGGAACGTATTCTTCTAGCCATATTGTACTTATCAGCTGGTGCGTATTACTGATCAATATTTGCCCACCGGTCTTGAAAAAGTTCAACAGGTAACACATCGGCAACTGCTGCTTTATTATTCATTGATTGCTATTCTGACCTCATCTCGGCTAGGTGGTATACACTCTATACCGGAATATATTATTGGTTCTGGGGGAAGATATCCAAAACCGCCACTATTTGATACCAGAAGCTTTGCAAAATGCTTCCTTCATATCCTCAACCCGCTATCTGTATATGCACGAGATATCCTTTTTCATCGTTAGAGGAGGATGTGCTTGCACAAATATCTTCAGTTCGATGTTTAAATGAACTTTAGAAGCCTTAAGACTTTTTTCATTTAAACTTTTAATTCAAAATACGGTAAAGTGCCATAGTTATTTCCGATCTACAAATTTTTGTCATATTTCAATATTACTATAACACTTATTTTTCATACTAATATTAAAATGTTATATACTAATTTTATTCTGTATGCCTTTTCTTTACAGTTTATATGGCAATTTAACAAAAATATGTGCCTCCGCTGCTGCACGCCAACCCCACCAGTCAGTCACAAATCCCACAACTGCCAGCACTGCTGTGGCGATCAACGACACACAAACTCGCGAATATCATGAAGTGGTCGGTGATATTCTCTGCCCCTCGCAAGTGATGGGTATCGATCACATTCGAGATCCACGTCTAAATAAAGTGAGTACAACAATTTGTATAATGGCTGGCCAATCAGGCATGACACTCAAAAAACGTTAGTCCAGTGCTGCCCTTGGTCATTATCATCCATGACACATGGATTACATTGCATCTATGTGGCATGCGGCGGCGTTTATGTCATTTGAGAGCGTTTGTAAAACTGACACTAAATTTAAATTTTATTCAAATTTTTGTGTTTTTTTTAATTTTTGCATTCAACCCCATGTAGGGTTTAGCTTTCACCCTCGAAGAACGACAAGTATTAGGCATCCATGGCCTGCAGCCTGCCCGCTTTAAAACTCAGGAAGAACAATTGGAATTGTGTAAAATAGCTGTGAATCGTTATAGCGAAGCGTTGAACAAGTATTTGTATTTGAGCGATTTGCAAGATCGTAATGAACGTCTGTTTTTCCGTTTTCTCTCCGAGAATATTGAAGAAATGATGCCAATTATTTATACACCAACTGTCGGTTTGGCATGTCAACGTTTCGGTTTGATTTATCGTCGGCCACGTGGTCTATTTGTAACAATAAATGATCGTGGTCATGTCTTTGATGTTATTAAGAATTGGTAAGTAATAGAATAATCGCATAATATATGATTCGGAAAGGGTCGAATATGCGATACTGGTCACATTAGACTTTAGTCCTTTCCTTACCAACAATGGAATGGGTTTATGCCCAAAAATGTTTACACCACCAACCTACTGTCAGTTTTACCCTTTTTACTAACATTTCTTTTCTTTCTTCCCCTTAGGCCCGAACCCGATGTCCGTGCCATTGTCGTAACCGATGGTGAACGTATTCTCGGCTTGGGTGATTTGGGTGCATCTGGTATGGGTATACCTGTCGGCAAGTTGGCCCTATACACCGCTTTGGCTGGCATCAAACCTCACCAATGTCTACCAATTTTGATTGATGTCGGCACAAATAACATTGATCTCCTCGAAGATCCTCTGTATGTGGGTCTGCGACAAAAACGTGTTGTTGGCCGTGAATATGATGATTTCATTGATGAATTCATGCAAGCCGTGGTCAAACGTTACGGTCAAAATACTTTGATCCAATTTGAAGATTTTGGCAATCATAATGCATTTAGGTTCCTCGATAAATATCGCAATACTTATTGTACCTTTAACGATGATATTCAGGGTACTGCCTCCGTGGCGGTGGCTGGCTTATATGCCAGTAAACGTATTACGGGTAGAAGTTTTGCCGAATATACTTTCCTATTTGCCGGTGCCGGTGAAGCTGCTATTGGTATTGCTGATTTGGTGGTGAAAGCTATGGTTGCCGAAGGTGTTTCATTGGAGGTGGGTTTGGAAAATGATGTCGATTTTTTTTTTTGGGATATTTTGTGATTATTTTTGTTTATTATATTCTAGGAAGCCCGTAGCAAAATCTGGATGGTGGATATTGATGGTCTCTTGACAACCACTCGCAAAGATGGCAACCTTGAGGGCCACAAATGCAACTATGCCAAAGATGTTGAACCCATGAAGAATTTAGAAGATATTGTTGAAAAAGTTAAACCTAATGTAGGTGTATTTTGTTATAAAAAATCTGAGAATATTTAAGTGAGCTTTTTTCTCATTCGAGTCGAGCTCACTCACACACTTAAAATCCATGCAAATGATCATCGCCCTTACTGGCAAAATTCGAATAAAGAAATATGATTACAACTGAGCATGGCTACGATTCGAACCTTTGTTCCAGAGCCATAGAAATGTTGCCAGACCACATAGCGTTCTGAACCACTAAGGCACTTCCGACGTCGAAACGCGTCGCATTATGGTGCATACATAGGTTCTTCCCCTGACTTTCCTTTGCATTTCAAAACTACGATCACTAAGCTCGACTTGAGAGAGAAAAAAAAACTTACTTAAAAACTATTTAAATAATCATTGTCCTTACAAGAAAAAATAAAATAAATAATAAATATTTTAATTCCATAACATTTTACTTAATTTCAGGTATTAATTGGTGCTTCAGCCGCTGCCGGTATTTTCACTCCTAAAATCCTACAAACAATGGCTGCCAATAATGAACGCCCCGTTGTATTCGCTTTGTCAAATCCTACAAGCAAAGCTGAATGTACTGCCGAGCAGGCATATCAAAATACGGAGGTAAGTCAACTTTTTGTCAAGATCGTTTTATAATTTCTAGTTTTATTTTTTACTCAAAAGGAGAATATAATACTTAGATTCACCCTTTTGTAGGATTAAATATTTGAATGATATTTATGGAAGATGCTTTCCTCGTGGAAGCAAAAATGTATCAATTATTTCCTAGGTATATTGAGTATGGCTCTAAAACTTCTTATCTTTAACATAGCCTTTGGTCCATGTTGTACTAGTATTTAGTATGTAGAAGAATTTGAAAATGTCTATCACAAGTCGTTAAAAGGGCATCTTCAAGGATTGATCCCAATGTCAGTAAATATTCTCAGGAATGCTCCAGGATTATTTCATTGGTCGCAGAACATAAATTGAACAAATGGTTAGAGCATCTAAACTCAGAAAAAAATATCATAGAAATCTGTAATTACGTTAAACGAGGAATGACGACTGATCTGAAAAGTAGCTTCCTATTGAATGGCAATAACCGCCTGGTACTAGAGGATTTCATAAGCATCCGACATCATCTCTCAACGCTTCACTTTTCTTAGCCATAGGACTTCTAAACTCAAAAGAAAGGATGATAAAACTCTTCAGTCACGTTAAACGAGGAATTGTTTAGCTTCCTATTGGAGGCAATAACCTTCTGGTACTAGGGAATTTCAATGCTCACCATGAGTTGTGGCATTCCGTCCTAGGTAATGGACCAGAGGGAAAAAGTGCTGGCAGAGAAAATTGATAGCTCCACGTTCTGCTCGTTTAATGAGGATGCCCCCACCAGAATAAGGGTAGAGTGTCACAGTTCGCCAGACATAACCATTGTGTCACCCGGTCTGATAATTACGTCTACTGGCAGCCTGTCCTTTCTCTTGGGTCAGACAACCACCCTATAATCGTCTCCTTCAGCAGACCGACCGATTTCATGGCCTCTGAACGGCACCCTTTCCCTAACCATAGGAAAGTCAGTTGGCAAGGATTCAGAGAGCTTATCAACCAGCGTTTCAGATAAGCTATGAAAGCTTTTGATGTACGGGTAGCAGAAAGGGAATTCCGAGACATCATTGCAACTGCAGCCCCTAGGTTGATACCTGCTGTGACCGAATACCTGAGATGGAGACATAAGACGTGATGTGATCCGACGATCTAACCCAGCAGATCCCACAATCAGGGAACTCACGTTGTAGATCAGCAGATTAGTCGCGGAATAAATAGTTCAAGCATCTGAAGAGTTGCAACATCAGAACCGGTGTGAGTAAACTGTGGGCAACGGTTACATCGCTTTCAACCCTGGTAAGAAGGATGATAGGACGTCAGTCTCATTTAACCACAAAACTGTGACTGATCAGAAGCGATGAAAGTGACAGGGTCAAGTGTACTACGTCGTATATGATCTCTTTCCATCGAGGAGGTACCACCACTGTTTACAATGGGTTATGTTACATGTGTTATCCGTATGTCGTTCTGCGCGCTTTGGGTCCTGATGGAATATCCATGGTTATGCTGAAACAACTGGACGAATAGCCACGCACATCATTCCCGAAGCCTGGACAATGGAGGATGGTTCCACAACTGAAGCCAGGCAATGATGCCAACAAAGGTGAATCATACAGACCGATTTTACTTTTGTAAGCAGCAGCGAAGACTTTTGAGGCATTACTCTTACCCAGGGTTCCGGAGACGAAGATCTCTTCCTTACGTCCGCATAGCATTATGCTTTCCACCATCATATGGTGGATTAAAATTCCCCACCCAGACGTGTCCTTTTGAGCAGGTCTAAAAAGTATTCATAGTGATGCAGTAAATGCAGGGCTGAATAAATACAGTGTGAATGTCGTCCTCGGTGCTCACGCCCACCCTTCGCAGCTGAAGGACAGTAGCTGCTGAGACTAATTTTGTAGCCTTCTCCAACCTGGGGATTATGAAAATACCTTCCATGAAATGTGACCACATGGAATGGTAAGATAAAAATGCCACTGAATTAAAAGATCGATGGACAAACAAATTCCGTCCACCAACTACAACATGCTGGCACAAAAAAGATAGAAACAGAGACCTCCAGTAACTCGGCGTAGCACCTGGGGAGTTGGTAAATTAATCTTATTGATGGGTTTGATGGCATATGTTGGAACTGTAAACTGGGTTTCACATCAAGCCCGTTTCCATGAGGAGACCTTGTATTACCTGCCTAGTTGTTACCGAGAAATTGACCAAATTATTATATAGCGGAATCTGCATGATCAAAAAAGGGATATTTGGTCCAAAGTTAAAATAAAGTGTGAATTTGTAGCCATGAGTACAGTGCAATCATCATCACTAGCACTGGGCGAATTGATGATATCCCAACATGAGCTACAAGTCCATACACTAACTTATATAATTTCGATATCTAGCCAAATCAAGAGGATCTAATAGAACTGCTGTCGAAGTCATGAGGATCTAATAGTACAGCTGTCGAAGTCAACGTTTTATGATCGAAATTCAGATTATATATTTTCAATAGCCTCACCAATACTACCCACATAACATTAAGGGATTTCGAAGATACAAGCAATTTAGTAAAGATCGAAATAAACATAGGAAGAATGTAAAATATATATCTACCACATTGGCCGCTACCAATCCCGTTTCTGCAACAGTGGGTTCTACAATCTAAAACCTTCGATACTAATTAAGCCTCATATTATTACGTGGACAATATATAAAAGATTCTCTTGCTTTTTTTAACTCAATATTTTTACAAAATTATGTACATTTTATTTCCAGGGACGTGTTATCTTCTCTTCGGGTTCACCCTTCCCTCCCGTGACCATTGGCGATAAGACTTTCTATCCTGGCCAAGGTAACAATGCCTATATTTTCCCAGGTGTTGCTTTGGGTGTAATTGCCACCGGTACACATCATATTCCCGATGATATGTTCCTAATTGCCTCACAAGAACTTGCCAATTACGTCTCGGATACCGATTTGGAACGTGGCTCTCTGTATCCACCTCTATCATCGATTCGTGAAATTTCGATGCGTATTGCTATGGGTGTTACCAAGTGTGCATATGACAAAGGTATGATTTATTTCTTCGGAATTTTGGAATTGAATGCTAAAAAATAAAATATTTATATTTTTTAAAACAGGTCTTGCCTCAACCTATCCCGAACCACAGGACAAACGCAAATGGTTGGAAGAACAATTGTACAATTTCAATTATGAAAGCTCATTGCCAGTGACCTGGGTGTGGCCCCGGATGCCCTACATTAAGACCCGTGACTTAAATCCCACAAAACTCTTTGGAGACTCAAGTGATTAATTTTGCATTTTTTCTTTCTTTTTTCTCTCTTTCTCTGTGTATTATTGCAGGCGATGAAAGTCCTCTCTTAGCTGCCATTAAATAAATGTTTTGGCTAACACCATTCACAACTGCATCTAAATATTGAAACTAATCCACACAAATTCTAGAACCAAAGAAACCAATAACCAATTAGTTGCCATCTCCTATACAACTTGATCTATCTATCTCTCTAACAACTATATTATTTTTCTCAAAGCGTTTTGATTTGTTTTCGATTACAACACCACCAAAAACACCGAGTATTACTACTACCCATCATAGTTTTTGTTCGACTATCCTATGTTTGACAACACTTCTACTTCAAACTACACGCCTAACTAATTTTAATTCTTCACATTAAAATATTTCTTATTTACTTTGGCCTTTGGAAGTGGATTCCAAACGATTTTACACCAAAACAAAATACTATTTTAATTTAAAGTGTAGTTTTTAGTTTATTAGCCACATTTATTAAAACGAAACGAACGAATGCAAAAAATCAACTATTTAAAAAAATGAATGCCAACTATTTACAAACAAAATTTATTGTAATAATGACAATGTGCCTGTGTGTTTGTGTTCCTAAAAGAGAATTTAAATGTATTTTCGAGAAATCTTAATTTATCAAGAGCTAGATATGTTAATGAAAAAGATTATGCCACTGGATCCTAGAATGAAGCCTGGAATTGGCAAAATTTCGTATCAATTGAACAAACATTAGGTGTTTAGTGCTATTTAGCGTGTTGTGTCAACGACTGAAGCCAATGGTGAATGACATTATCAGACCATTTAATTTGAATAAAAAATGTGATCTTTATACTTTTAAAATACAAGGACGGCCGGAGAGACATTCATTAAAATCGACTCAGAAAGTAAATCTATATTCAACCGTTTAAATAAGTTGTTGTTGTAGCAGCCCACAATGGCACAATGGACTGAGGTGGCAGACGTTGGCCGAGTAAGACTCGGGTCTTTTCGGATCGTAGACCCCTCTGACGTGGAAACGACCGTCTTGTGTTCGTCCTTTCCCCACAGAATATTTCAGTGGCATAACAAAGACTTAAAATATTGTTCGAATGATCCTAATTTTGATTTTTTTGAAAATACAATTACACTACTACTACCACACACCACATTGTTATTAAACAAGAAAATTAAATTAATTAACTAAATAATAATTATATATATATTGTATGTCATCTAGTCAAACAAAAATTAGAAGACTTTAAAACAGTATTTCAATGCATAGAATAGAAAATTTGTGTGGGTTGTTTTACTTTTTTTCTGTATTATTAGTTTTAAACAATTATTTAATTTATATATTTATAAAAAAAAATAACATCATATATACTTTGTAAGCTTTGCTTTCTCGCCTAGAAAGTAGATACTTGCAATTGATTGTAAACAACAACAAAAAATAATAACATTTTGTATATGCTTTTTTTAACATTATTTTCATTTTTTCCTTTTTTTTTTTGTATTTTCATATAATAGTTATTTTTTCTTTTCTTTCATCTAATTCCACGCTTTTATTTGGCTTGCTTTTTTTGTTTGGCATGGTATTTATAAAATGGATCTTTTTTAACCTCTCTATTTAACCCACTTCCTTCCTGACTTCTTCGCCTTCGCCTAGCTTTATGGAATTCCTTTCCATCTTCTACTTGCTACCTTTCGTCGTTACGTTTTTTCCTCTATTGTTTTTTGTCTAAATGAAAGAAATGTTGACTGACTGTTGTTTTATTTTTCTCGTTTTTTTTTTCTTCTCCTTCTCTACCAAAAAAATATCTCTTTTTTTGTATTTCTTTTTCTAGAAGATACACAGAAGTAAAAAACTTGTAATCATACCTTGAGTTGTACAGAAAAACTTAAATAAATCTCTGCAACAAAAAACATCGCTCGTTGTTCGTTCATACAAATAAAAAAATTAAACAAATCCTCCTTAGAAACGAATGCGAAACAAAATATCTGCCGCTTGATGAATTATCAAAATACACCACACTTTGCAACCAACACAATCACCAACTACATCCATACGTAAAGGAAAAAAAGATTCATTGTCTTATTTTTTAAATTTTAATTCATACATTTATTTTAATTTCCTATTTTTTCTATATTTTCTTTAGTTAGCCTCATTATTTATATATGTATGTATATATTTCAAAGAAAACAAAACAAAAACACAAAATGTCCATTTAATTTAATTTTAAATACGAATGTAATTTTAATTTTATTAGTTCAATTTTGAAATTGTCAACAACAACAAATGAAAGTTACAAACAAACAAACTAACCTCACAAAATAGCGAAAACCCACAAAACATTATTAATTATAAGTTACCTAACATGTGTATGCCGGACATAGTAAATTGACGTCATTGAAGTTGAAATAAAATGAAAAACAAAAAAAAATTAAAAAATATAAACATATGTGGTTTTATTTATAAATGAGAGCCGATTTTTTAATATCGTTTTTCAAAACCTACACACAAATACCTGTAGCCGTTCAGAGAAATTCAGTTTCAGAAGTAGGTATTGTCGGTGTGCCAACTATAGAGGTATTAGCCGTCTTCCCATCGCATATAAAGTGCTATCCAGTGTGCTGTGTTAACGATTGAAGCCAATGGTCAATGACATTATTGGACCATACCAATGCGGCTTCAGACCTGGCAAATCCACCATTGATCATATTTTCACTCTGCGCCAAATCCAGGAAAAGACCCTCATATTCGTGACTATAAACCCGCATTCGACAGCCTTATCTGTTCAGAGGTGTTGAAAGACATGTCTACTTTCGGCTGATGGTATCAACGCGCAAGACGTCCAGTAGACTCGGACCAACTGTGGAACTTGAGAACTACAGCTTCGAGGTAGTTAAAGATTTTATACCTTGGTACCGCCATTAATAAAACGAATGACATCAGTTTTGAAATTCGAAGAAGTATTGTGATGGCCAAAAGATGTTACTATGGTCTGAGTAAGCAACTCATAAGCAAGGCCACCTCACGCCAGACCAAACTCACACTCTACAATACGCTGATACTACCCGTGCTATTATATGGATCTGAAGCTTGGGTACTTACTCAAGCAGATGAGGCAGCTCTTGGAGTGTTCGAGAGAAAAATTCTTCGAAAGATCTATGGGCCGATCTGCGTTGATGGTGAATATCGCAGTCGAATGAACCACGAACTTTACAATTTATACGCGGACATCGACATAGTCAGTCGTATTGAGCTGTAGAGACTACGTGTTTTAAAATACCTAGATTTTTTCAAAGTTTCTATTAAACCATGCGCAAAACCATGGCCAATTACGGGAAATATTCAAGATACATAAAATGGGGCGAAATAGGTTTCTAACCTTCAATGACCCGAAATGCCAAATTAATGTCATTTCGATTGGAAAATATAGAAGCGGGATGAAGCGGTACCTTTATATGGAAGCTGCAAAAACCTATGTCCCATATCACAAGAAGTTTGTTTTCATTTTTTTTTATTCTATGAGAAAGTGAAATACCAAAACACAGCCACTTTGGTTGAAATATACGGCTAGGACCTACAAAATATCTAAAATCATTCGGGACACCTATATTTTTGGGGACTACACGTCAAAACATATACCCCATATTTATTAATATATATCTGCCAAGAGGTGGCATTTTATGCTTCGAAGTCTGTAATATTACAAATTACAACCATTTTGATTGGAAAATCGGTGAATGGGAACAGCATTTTACCCATTTGAAATGATACCAAATTGCTAAACTTGCACCACAACATGTTTTCTTTATTTCCTACAAATGTCCTTAATAGCCCTATTTTTTCGCAAAATGAGTTTATTTCCCAATGACAACAAGCATTCAACAACAATCGAATATCAAAATTTTCTCAAATACACCAATTTCCAGTAATTTAAAGCCAATTTAACGTTTTTGCAAATTATCACGAATTCCCTAGTTCTCCATTGTGAACATTTTTTTTATCGATACACATTCAAACTACACAATTTCCCGTTACACATACAAACAACACAAATTCCCCTAATCAACGATAAAATTTTGATGTCTATACGTTCATTCGTTACGGAGTTATAGCTATTTCAAGTTGACCTTGTGTCAAAATATAGCGGCTACACGATTCTGTTGGCCTGGTATCTCAAATTGGAAATTGGCATTTTCACAAAAGCGAAAAAGTACAAAAACAGCAGCATCATTGCCACACTGTTCGATTTTTCTTCGATTTAATGGTTTGGTTTACAAATTCTGAGCATACTTTCAGGTGCATCATTTAAAATGATATCCATGTGAATGTTATACGGCTCGTTATTTTAATGTAACTCCTAAAGGTATGCTCAGGATTTATAAACCAACCATTAAAACATTATGGTAGCGATCTGGTACCATTGCAGCAAGCATTATTTTATGTTTTTGTCCATGTTCGATTTCTTCATTTTTCCAATTTTAGGTACCAGGCCAACAGAATCGTGTAGCCGCTATATTTTGACACAAGGTCAACTTGAAATGGCTATAACTCAGTAATAAATATAGGTATAGATATAAAACTTTTACCGTTGGTTAAGGGAGATTTTGTAGTTGTTATCGATGTATCGATAAACAAGTATTTCATCACACGGAGAACTAGGGAAATTGTAATCATTGTAATCACATTAAATTAGCTTTGAATGACTGGAAATCGGTTTATTTGAGAAAATTTTGATATTCAATTGTTGCTGAATGTTTGTTGTCATTGGGAAATTAATTCATTTTGAGAAAAATTAAGGAAATAAAGAAAACATGCAATTTTATCAAGTGGAGGACATCATTTAAAAATTGGCAAAATGCTGTTCGCATTTACCGAATTTCCAATCAAAGTGGTTCAAATTTGATATTTAATATTTCAGAGGATAAAATACCTCGTTTTGGCAGATATTTGTTAGTATAGGAGCATGTGTTTTGACGGGTAGTTCCTATAAAAAATAAATATCCCGAATGATTTTCGATATTTTAAAGGTCCTCACCGTAGTTTCCTATCCAAAGTGTTTGTAATTGGGTATTTCGGTTTTTCAAGGTATAAATAAGCTTCTCATAGGACTACAGGGGCCCATGTTTTTTTATATAATAGCTACATAGAATAAAAATGCAATTTTAAAG